GAGTTTTTTGCATTCACCAGCTTCTTTTGGTTCTTTTCAAGCAATCTAATTATGTCTTTTACATGCTGATCGACCTTAGATACGATCTCTCCCAATATATTCATCAGTTGCAACCGGTTTCGTCATATTCATACGACATTATCAAGCACAAATACATACATGGTATTACCAGTAAAACGCCTTTTGGGCGAAGAACGAGCGAGCGAGATAGTGAGCCCTGCACGTGCAGAAGGGCGAGAGGGTACTTCCAACGGGCTTGTGCAAAGCACCCTTCTAACCGGTTGCTAGCGGTGTACCAAATTTGAACGCAATCGGCACAGCCGTTCCTGAGATCTGGAAGCGGCATTCTGCACGTGCGCACGTGCAAACGGGGTCCAAAATGACTTTTGCACGGCACCCTACTAACCGGTCCCCAACCGTGTACCAAATTTGAGCGCAATCGGCCCAGCCGTTCTCGAGATCTGGAAACGCCCCCTGCACGTGCGCACGTGCAGTAGCACCCTAACCGCAACACATGGGAATGCATTGCCTGGTGGGTGCCTACCTGTATGCCAAGTTTCAGCGAAATCGCCCCAGTAATTACCGAGTTACTGAAATGGGAACAAATTTGGCACCTCTTATTGTTGTATTTTGCACGTGCAGTGGGGGTCACTCACATAGATGAAGAGTATCCGACCTTTGGTAGAAGGGATGCAGCTACCCTATAAAAATGACCGCAAGACAATCGCTCAAGCCGCTGCTGAGATATGGGCCTCTCAAAATAAGTACTTTTGCAAAACTGCTTGAACACCCTTGACTTTTCACGTGGCACGTGCCACGGCGGTCACTGAGATGTATCAAAAGTAGTCAATTACGGGGTAGAAGGGATGGGGCTACCCAGCAAAAAAGACCGCAGGCCATTCGGTCCAGCGGTTGCTGAGATATAGGGGCATTCCACGTCAAATCAAACACCGAAATCCGTCATCCCCTTCGATATTTCTGAAAATTTGTAGGCAGACTGGGCATGGTTCAAAACTGAGTTACGTATAATATTTTCGAAATTTGATAACGTATCGCTGAGATATAGGTCATCGAATATAGCGAAAAATGCCACACATCAATTTTTTAAATGGCTATAACTCTGGTTCCTTTTCTGGTATCAAAATGACATTAACAGGGTCTTATAGGCAATTGATAAGGCTTTGATTTTTAATTATAAAATTAAAATGAAGTGACCTTGAAATGCATTTGACCTTGAATTAAAACAGAAAAATTTAAATAGCAAAAAACACGTCACCTTCGATTTGGGTAATTTTTACATATTATGTCCGTCACAATGTTCCCAACCATCTGTGAAAAAATTGGAGTGGGCCATTCATAACTTTCGCGGCAAACGCCGTTTTCATGCATCAACATAACGCAACCGCGCGTGACCTTGAAAGACAGAGTCAAGACATGCTTGCTTGTGTACACTTTCTGAAATGAATGATTGCTGTTTAGTGATGTCCCAAACTCTGCGAGAATGGAAATGCATAGTCATCGTATAAGTCAAGCATTCACGTTCCATAGTAAAAGCGTCTCAGGCAAACGGTATTTTGCGGTGAATTTTGAGCCGTGTGGAAATGCATCATGAAGTAAATTCAACGAAAACATTATCACGCAACGATATCTTCACGTCTTTTGATCTTCACTATCCGAAAGAACATACATTTCTTAGTATGTATGGGGAATTTCTAGTTAATCCAATAATAAATATGGCAGTTAGAGGCCTGCTAAGAGTAACATGTCGCCGGCTGAGGCGGGCTCGGCCGATGCGGGAAACGCAGCAATCACAATTTTGTGTTTACACGTTCATATTTCAATTGTTTACCAACCGATTTTCAAAATTCTTTCACCATAAGATTGCCTGTACATTTCTTAGTCTTCTCACAAAATTTGACGCGAATCGAACGTTATCAGCGGTAGGGAGCGCGATGTAAAGACGGAACCGTTCCGTTCCGTCCCGGCACAGTCGGCGGCGCGTAGCGGTCGGCGCCGGCTGCCGAGTCGCCGCGTCGCTGCGGCGACAGGATGTTCACTTTACACCGCTATTACTAGAACAGTTGTGAACCAATTTTCTTATTGCTTGCACGATGAGATGTCCAATTCAATTCTTGACAGGTAGCCATAATTAATTTCGCATTAATCTTATGAGATATTGGCGAAAAACAGGAGGGGTGGGCGAACTTCGCTCTTCCCCCTCAACTGCGCGTGCTAACATACGTTTGCATATGTGCAATTTTCTTCAAAACTTATGAATGGCCCACTCTAATTTTTTCACAGGTTGTTAAGAATATGGTAGGCAATAAAATATATGAAAATGAGCCAAATCGAAGGTGACGTGTTTTTTGCTATTTCAATATTTGTGCTTAAGAACAGAGTTAAGCAATTTTCAAGGCCATATATTTAAGTAGGTGCAATTCTAAACAAATGCTTAAGAAATTACCTAAACAGTAAGGTTTATTTCATTCAAATCAAACAAGTACAACCAAAGTTATGGTCGTTCAAAAATATAAAGATGCAACATTTTGTAAAAATTTGATGCCCTATATTTAGAAGACCTATGGTCAGAATGTGCAAAAAACATCAATGTAATGTCCGGGGCCACACAGGAACTCGCTCACAAATTTATACTGAAATCGCTGATGGTAAGGTGCAAAACAGCCGATTTTTGTTCGATTTGACGTGGAATGCCCCTATAAGCCTCTCAAAAGCGTTACAGGCCGGGCCGGGCCGCTCATACTGAGATTTTTCCGTTATATTGAAAAGACTTCGCTTCGCTCGCTGCGCTCGCTCGCTCGTAACAAAAGAAACTAAGATTAATTACTCTGGTTGTTGATCGTGTATAAAAGTTTAAATTTAAGTTCTGTTGACCTTTGAAAAAATCAAAGCTGATGTCAGGTACACTAATTACTTCTCATTCCTCGGTTACAGAAATATCACTATTCACAGCTCAGAGGAAACCTAGTCTTTTAACATGGCTACTACACGGCCATGTTATGAAGCGTGATGATTCCCTCGTGGTCTCGCTGCACATTTAAAGTTGGTCTCAGTAGCTGGATGTGCACAGCCTCGAGTATTCGAAGTCTCTTCTTATTCTCTTCTTATTCGAAGTCCATTCTTAGATGTTTCTGTAGATGTATCTGAAGGGACGCACGTTACCACCGTTCATCGCAAGAAAACAGATGGTGGTCGCTGCATGAACGCCCTTAGTGAGTGTCCCACCAGATATAAACGTGGGGTGATCAGAATGTATGTGCGAAGAGCACTGAAAACATGCAGCTCTTGGCAACTTTTTGACGAGGAACTGGCACATGTGAGACATGTGAGAAAGATGCTGGTAAACAACAATTACAGGAGCGCCGACGTTGACAGAGAGATTAGGACTGCACTGGACGAGCACTTCCTGAAGAGAAAACCTGAATGTGACTCCAACATTCAGGTCCTTTACTTCAAGAATCAGTTCACTGACGCCTACAAACTTGATGAGCGGGTCCTACAGGAACTTGTAAAAAAAAACGTCGCACCAGTCCACAACAACCATGTCAAGCTACGAATCTACTACAAGAACAGGCGGGCATCAAACCTCATCATGACAAACAACACAAACAAGTCCACACCACTCAAGTGTGCCAGTGTGGTCTACCGATTCACCTGCCCACATGAGGACTGCAAGCCTCATAAACCTCCGGTTACCTATATTGGACACACAACTACTCTATCAAGACGCCTCACCTATCACAAACAAAACGGAGACATCGACAAGCATATGCGAGAAAAACATGGCCGCTAAATCACTCGGGAAGAGTTAGTCACAGGCACAGAAATTATCGACTTCGAAAGTAATCGCAAGAGACTTCGAATACTCGAGGCTATGCACATCCAGCTACTGAGACCAACTTTAAATGTGCAGCGAGACCACGAGGGAATCATCACGCTTCATAACATGGCCGTGTAGTAGCCATGTTAAAAGACTAGGTTTCCTCTGAGCTGTGAATAGTGATATTTCCGTAACCGAGGAATGAGAAGTAATTAGTGTACCTGACATCAGCTTTGATTTTTTCAAAGGTCAACAGAACTTAAATTTAAACTTTTATACACGACCAACAACCAGAGTAATTAATCTTAGTTTCTTTTGTAATATCATGTATGTATTTGTTCTTGATAATGTCGTATGAATATGACGAAACCGGTTGCAACTAATGACTATATTGGGAGAGATCGTATCTAAGGTTGATCAGCATGTAAAAGACATAATTAGATTGCTTGAAAAGAACCAAAAGAAGCTGGTGAATGCAAAAAACTCGGTCATCTTTAATCAAACATGTCTAGACCAAGGGTTGCTTCCTAAATATATACATATATATATATATATATATATATATATATATATATATATATATATATATATATATATATATATATATATAAATATATATATATATATATATGATCCACTATGGTAGACAACACAAACATACTGGTCAAGAACTCAAACAGACGCAAACTTAAAGTGCTAGAAGCGGTCTACATAAGAGACAAAGATCCCCACATAAACCGGCAGTCAAATATGAGAGGCACTATCTCGCTGTGTGATAGCCAGCCTCTAGTGCCAAGACTGTAGATCTCCATGTATGGTGTTTCTGCTTTAGGTGTGTGATGTCAGTTATTTTTATCTGAGGCGCCTCAAGAAAATAGGCCCATTCACATACGATGGATGATAGTTATAAAACGTGTCAATTTTGAATTTTGAATGTTATTCCTTTTATGATCGAAGCTACGATACGATTTCGAATGTATTATTTCTATGTAATTGTGATTGTTTTGCTATGCGTGTCCGTACCTATAATGTCTGAAGATGTTAGCAGGACTAACGAAACGTTACATGTAAATATAGGTACCATTCTCCAATGTTTTCCAGAAGATGACTGTAACGGCCATTCAAATCAATTTCTACAAATAAGCCGCCATTCTAGGTACTAGGTGCCGCTATATTGTACGTAAAACCTGAAACAAACAATAGTATCAACAAAAAATAATACACATGGACACACAAACAACACAAAAACCAATCATTTCAAAGCATTGCATACATTAATCAATTATCAATGGACAATAATCTTACTTTTGTGGGATCTGACGTCCCAGTATCACAATCGTACGTGTCAATGGCCACGCTTCACCGCGTGCCACGCCCTGTTCAAGGTTCTATTAATTGGAGGCGGCAAATTGGGGAAAAGAAAACATCGCTGCCCAATGACCTCTGGGCGGCGGTTACACTCCCACCAATCGGTCACGATTCTATAACAAGACAGTCCACATTTGCGCAACACGACCGCGGAGCGCAACCATCCTGCGCCACACGACCGACGACGGTAAAGATGGTGGCAAACTGAAATCATCTTACGTCACGGGAGTTGCCCGTCGTCCATCACTAAGCGTCACTCGGCAGCCGCTCACGATACAGAGCGCCAACACATACTAGTCAGCTCACTCGTCGGCTGACGTGCCACTCTCCTCAGTTCACAACGCACTAACAACCACCACACTGTCGGTGGCTGTTAACTGTTTATGTCGCACGCTCTGAGGCACTGCATGACCGTATGTCTCAGTTAAACCTTCAATGTCTGAGCCACTGTTATCAAATGAGCCACTGTCGTCACCGGCAGAGCCACAGACAGCCCCACGCGCAACGCTCAGGGTCGCAGCAGCAGTCTAGGCTACGCAGCAGTCCAGGCTACGCAGCAGCTACACAGTTCAGCCTGACAGCTGCGCACAGTTCAGCCCCCACTGAGCGCCGTCGAAGGCTGCAGCCGCCAACTCTGCTCAAGCACCGCCGAAGCCACCACCAGCGCGCGGCCCGGCCCCGCAGAGCGCCGCCGGAGCCACCAGCAGCGCGCGGCCCAGCTCCGCCGAGCGCCAACGAAGTCGGCGCCTACGGGAGGAGCCGCACCAGCTTCTGTATCGGTCGATCATATGTTCCGTCTTTCGTGCGTACGGCGACCCGCCGGACGAATCCGTCGTCGGACGGATGAAGCCGCGTGACGCGCCCCAGCATCCACTTGCAGCGGGGAGAGTTGTCGTCGACAACGAGCACGACGCTGTCCAGTTCGATGTTCTCGTGCGCTGTCGCCCATTTCCTCCTTTCCTGGAGACTCGGGAGGAACTCGGAGCGCCATCGTTGCCAGAACCGGTTTGCCAGGTACTGGACGCGTCGCCAGCGACGACGGCAGTAGACGTCAGTCCTCTGAAAGGCACCAGGCGGCGAAAGCACTACATTACATTTCTGTGTTAGTAGAGTCATGGGTGAGATTGGGTGGGGTTCATCGGGAGTCATGTTGAAGGATGTGAGGGGCCTGCTATTAACGATAGCTTCCACTTCGCAGAGCAGCGTTCGCAGGAGCTCGTCATCCAGCCGAGCCCCGTGACATTCCTGAACGAGACCGCCCAAGACAGCCCGAGCGGAGCGAATCATGCGCTCCCAGACGCCTCCTGCGTGGCTGGCTGTGGGGACATTCATCCGAAAGATGACCCAGTCGCAGTTCTCCTTCACCAGCTCTCTGCGTATCCTGTCGTCGTCCATCTCGTCCAAAGCCTGCTCTAAGGCTCTCTTCCCGCCCACGAAGTTTGTGCCTCTGTCACTTCGCAGCACCCTCACCGGGCCTCTTCGGCTCACAAACCGTCTGTAGGCGTTAAGAAAAGAGTCCGTCGACAGTGAGTTTGCCGTCTCGATATGCACTGCCCGAGACGACATGCACGTGAAGAGAACGCCCCACCTTTTCACTTCACTCCGTCGCTCCTGTACCAGGAATGGACCAAACAAGTCCACGCCTGAATAGGTGAAAGGCGCCGCAGGTTCCAGTCTGTCATGCGGCAGGTCGGCCATCTTCTGATTCAGAACGTGGCCACGGAGCTTCTTGCAGTTGACACACTTCAGAATCAGGCGTGCCACCGATCGTCTCCCTCCGACGACCCAGTAGCCAGATGACCTCAGTCGAGCGAGAGTGAGACCTCGCCCAGCATGTCCGACTTTCTCATGGCACTCCTTGACGATCAGATACGTCACATGGCTTCGGTTGGGGATGATAACAGGGTGCACCTCACTCTCTGGAAAACCGCTCCTGCGAAGCCTCCCACCAACACAGATCAACCCGTCTCGCACAACTGGATCGAGACGAGACAACTCCTTGGGAACCGTGGCGGTCCGCCGGCCGGCTCCCACCGTCCTTGCCTGTCCCGATCGTCCAGCGCGGTCGACTTCACCTGGCAGCTCCTGTCGCTGCAATGCTGTCAGAATGATCCTCTCTGCTTCTTCCAGTTCTTCTACTCCGACTTGCGTTTTGGGAACATCTCGTGACTGCACGGCACTCCTCTTCATCATCACGAGGTGGTGAAGTTTCCTCACGTACAGGACGCACGTCGCTACTGCTCGCTTGGCTCGCCACCAGCTAGAGAAGCACTCGAGCCTCTTCGGAATTCCAGCGAACTCCTCCCGCACTGCTGTGGCGAAGCTGAAAGCAGAGCGTGACTTCACCTCAGGATCTTCGTCTCCAACCTCCCGTGGTCCCTCGCCCTCCGGCAGGACCGCACGGGACAGGAAGGCAGGTCCGTGCCACCACAAGGCACTGTCCACCAGTTCCTCGGCTCTGATGCCTCGGGAGGCAAGATCGGCTGGATTCTCCTCACTTGTCACGTGTCTCCACTGACTTGGCTCAGTATGGTTGCGAATTTCCTGAACTCGATTCGCGACATAAACGTGAAAACGTCTCGCTTCGTTCGAAATATAGCCTAACACTACCTTACTGTCTATCCAGTAGAACTCTTGTAGGTGCTGCAGCTTCAGTTCGTCCTGGAGGAACTTGCTCATCCTCACAGAGAGTACGGCAGCGGTCAACTCGAGCCTTGGCACCGTAACCGGCTTGGTTGGTGCCACACGAGCCTTGCTGATGATCAGTGAACAGTTGACCAGTCCATTTTGGTCAACCGTCCTCACGTAACTGCACTGCCCGTAGCCCACAGCGCTGGCGTCGGAGAAATGATGCAGCTCTACAGTCATCTTGTCCTGCAGCCCACCTTCCACATAGCATCGTGGAACACTCACGATCTTCAGAGCCAACATACTCTCCATCCACTCCTTCCATGCGTCAGCCACATCGCTGGGCACGGGATCGTCCCATCCGCAGCCCTCACGACACAGCTCCCTCAGTAGCAATTTCCCTCTCAAGATGAAAGGAGACACCAGGCCCAGTGGGTCAAAAAACGAACTTACTACTGATAGTATTCCTCTTCTGGTCACTTCTCTGACTCTCGGCGTGACGTGGATGGATAACATGTCGGTGTCCGTGTCCCAGTCGATTCCCAGAGTCCGCTCAACGGGAAGATCACCGGAACCGACATCTAGACTCCGAAGTCCAGCGCAGCGACTCTCCATCGGCACCGACTTCACGACATCAATGCTGTTCGAGAGGATCTTGTGAACAGTGAAGCCTCCACGTGCACAGAGCTTTCTGGTCGTGTCAATCAGTTTGACCGCTGTCTCGGCGTCTGGTACAGAGATGAGACCGTCGTCAATATAGAAATCACCTTTCATAAAGTCGGCGGCCTCTCTTTCAGTGTCACCTCGCTGACAATCAGCAGTAGCTCTGAGTGCAAACATTGCACACGCGGGTGACGAGGTGGCACCGAATAGGTGAGTCTTCATCCGGTACTCAGTTGGGTCTCTTTTCAAGTCGCCATCCTCCCACCACAGGAACCTGAGCAAGTTGCGATCCCTGACGTCGACTCCCACTTGGTTGAACATCGCCTCCAAGTCGCAGGAAACCGCCACAGGCTCCTTACGGAATCGGCACAGGATTCCGGTGAGGCTGTTTGTGAGGTCCGGTCCCTGTAAGAGGTGGCTGTTTAGCACGTGACCCCGAAACTCTGCACTGCAGTCAAATACGATTCGAATCTTGTTCTTTTGTGGGTGGTACACCCCGTGATGCGGAATGTACCAAACCCTGCCATCATCCAGCTCCAGTTCTTCACTGGGGACTTTCTCTGCGTAGCCCTTCTCTAACGTCGCCGCCATGAAGCCGGTGTAGTCGTGTCTGTAGGCCTCGTTTCTCACCAGCTTCGCCTTCAGTCCTTTGAGTCTTTGCATGGCGACTGTCTTGTTGTTTGGCATGGACACTTTGTCATTCTTCAGTGGCAGCGGCATCTGAAAATGGCCATCCTCGCGGTGCTCGAGTCCCTCACTCATCTTCTTCACAAACTGTTGATCCTGGATCGATAAAGCTGTCTTATCCTCTCGGCCAGTCTCCTGGAAGTCGGATTCGAGCACCTTCAGCACCTCCAGTGGGCTCACCTCGCGCACCTGTGATCTGAATGCGAAATGACAACGTTTGGGGTGACCATCGCTAGTGTCCACCAGATGACACGTCGCGTCCGGGTCGTTGCTCCCACCGAGACAGCCAACGATGCCCCACCCCAGGTGGGTTCGGATCGCCCAGGGCTCGTCGTCCTTACCAGAAACCACGTCCAGTGGCTTGATGGCGCGTGAACAGTTGGTCCCCAAAAGCAGAGCCACTGGTGCGCCAGGGAAGAACTCCGGCATTTTACTGGCTACTCTCTCCAGATGCTTCCACTTCATGGCTGTCTCCCTTTTAGGAACGACCTTCTTGGAGCATGGGATTTCAGGACGAGTGTAGGTTGATGGCAGTCTGATGGCTTCATCTGCTGTCAGGGGCTGAATCACCAGACCCTGTACCGCTCGGCTGCTGATGACCGACTTCCCCGTCATAGTGCTCAGCTCCAGTTTCGTGGCTCTTCCGTCGACTTTCAGGGCTTCACAAACAGGCTCTGAAGCAAAACAGGCATCAGACTGAGCGTCCAGTACAGCATACACCAGCACGCTGTGTTCCGGGTTGTCAACATGACTCAGTAGCACTGGCACCACCAGTGAGTGACAGCAGCCTCCTCCTTCAGCATCTGACACAGAGCCCGAGCAGAATGAAGTCGCCTGCGGTGCCGCGTGGGACGTCCTCCGTTGGCCTTCAGGCTGAACCTCAGCTTTCTTGAGAAGAGACTCATCATGCAGAATCGTAGGGTGCCACCTGCCACATTCATCACACTTGCATCTTGAGCGGCATTCCCTCCACCTGTGTCCTCTTCTTAAGCAGCCTCGACACAGTCCCAGCTCGTTGACCTTGCTGTTCCGTTCAGTTCCAGTCATCCTTTTGAAGGTGTCGCAGTCGCTTATCTTGTGCTGGTGTTGACACAGTTCACATGTTGAAGGCTTCCTTGTGTCCACTTGAGTTCCTCCATTGGCCCTCTTCACACCCGTTGTGGACATGAAAGTCCTGGCCTTACTCTGTGTCTTTTGTGGGGCTTGCCGCGTTTCTTCACACTTGGGTACATCCACCGGTCCGCAAGCAATCCTGGCTTCGATGCCGACAAAACGGACAAACTCTGAGAACGGTGGATGTCTCCTTTTAGCAACGCCCTTTTCATCGTAGAGCCACTTGTCCACCTCCCTCTTCCATCTGTCCACCAGGTACTTGGGCAGCTTCTTCACCATCATCTGAATTTCCAGGTAGTCATCCAGGATTCCTAGGTGGCGAAGAGGACCCGCAGCTGCCGCTTGGCAGTGCTCGAGGAAATCAGCATAGTCTCTGAGAGCACGACCATCTTCATGTTTGATTGCGGGCCAGCTCCTCAACTTCATGCGATACGTGTTGGATATGATGAAGTCGTTTCCGAACCTGTCATTCAGTCTCGCCTTCGCCTGCGAGTAAGCCTCATCTGTCCTCAGGTGGAGCAGGCCCAGGATGGCTGTCTTGGCTTCACCCGCTGTGTACTTTCCTAGAAAGTGAAGGCGTTCGATGGGAGAGGATGTCTGATGTTCAATATAGGTTTCAAAAGACTTCAGCCACATTGGAAACTCCTCAATGTTGCCACTGAAGGTGCCTGGTTCCAGCACGGGAAGCCTACTACCATTGTGTCGCTCAGTAAGCAGATCTGCCAGTCTGTGTAGTGCTGCTTGAGTGCTGGGTTCATCATCCTCCACTCGACTATTGGCTGTCTTGTCGTCTCTTCCTGTACCTTGGACATTATCCTTCACTTGGACTGCAGCATCAATGGAGACATCATTTCTTGGTATTGCTCCAGTTCCAGTGACCACTTCAGTATTCTCCTCCTTTGCACCAGGTCCAACTTCATCACTTGGGTCTTGACTTGCTCCCTCCTCCCTGTCAACATCAAACTGGTCAACCACCCTCAGCTTGGCTTCATTTATGTTCATTTCTGTTTCTATATCCAGTTGTTCTTGCTCCAGCAGCAGCTGTTCTTGTTTTTGCTTCAGATGCAGCCTTCTTCTACTCATTGCAGCTCTTGCTTCCAGCTCTGCTCTGTCCTGCTGCATCTTGAGCTTCATGAGCACAACCTGTGCCTTTACTTCGCTGCCGGCACATGACTTGCTTGAACGTGATCCACCAGCGTCAGATCTTGCAGGAGTAGCATCATCTGCGGAGACTGAAGACAGGTGAGCCTCCACCTTGCCTTTCAGCTCATTCACTTCAGTGAGGTTCTTGTCATGATCCAGGTTTTCTCTCTCTTCACCTTCCATCAGGGAGCATATCACTTCATATGTTTGCACAAAATCAACATAATCATGCTTCCAGACATCAAAGTCCTTCCTGATCACTTGTGGCTTTTCTTCCTGCTCAACAGACTCCAACAGTAAGCTGCCACGTGATCTCAGCTTCTTCAATAACTGCTTGTACAGCTTTGACTTCTGAGCAGCCTAGTAGCATCTACCTTTCTCAGTGGTCCGCAGCTCCCTGCCCTTCGCAGACAACATCCTCTGTTCGTCACTCATTGTGGACCAGGCAAGGAATTGATCAAGAAAAGATGGCACAGGATTTAGTTTCACTACTTAAATAAATTGTAAGAGGTGCAAATAATAGTTTAAATACTGCAATAACAAAACAAAATGAAGCACAAAAAAATTGTGACCCAAAACCAGTGTTAACACGTCAAGGTCAGACGTCCAGGTGCTGAGGCCAAAACTCAAGGTCAAAGTGACAAATACAGGTGTGTCTAGCTACAAACACCTCTACTAGTCAACCATCATGCATGATACGACAGGGGGAATCCTACTAACAACCCTGCGTAGCCACTGACTGCCCTAGAACGGAAACTACAACCAGTTGATATTCATTCAGTGCAACTGAAACTGTTAAAAGAAGAAAATAAAGACAATCTTTCAACTACAAAGTCTCTCAAAATCAGGACTAGATCAAAAAGTTTTACTGTAACGGCCATTCAAATCAATTTCTACAAATAAGCCGCCATTCTAGGCACTAGGTGCCGCTATATTGTACGTAAAACCTGAAACAAACAATAGTATCAACAAAAAATAATACACATGGACACACAAACAACACAAAAACCAATCATTTCAAAGCATTGCATACATTAATCAATTATCAATGGACAATAATCTTACTTTTGTGGGATCTGACGTCCCAGTATCACAATCGTACGTGTCAATGGCCACGCTTCACCGCGTGCCACGCCCTGTTCAAGGTTCTATTAATTGGAGGCGGCAAATTGGGGAAAAGAAAACATCGCTGCCCAATGACCTCTGGGCGGCGGTTACAATGACAGAAGGATTGTTAGAAACATAGAGACTACTCGGAAGAAGCTCATAAATGCACAATATGCTGTCTTGTTTAATGAAATATATATATATATATATATATATATATATATATATATATATATATATATATATATATATATATATATATATAATATATAATATATATATATATTATATATATATATCAATATTACCGGTACGCTGATGTATGACGCTAACAGGAACGGGCTCTGCACCGGTATAGAAAAACCATCCCAAGAGTCATTTGACACCGTCGAGGTGACACCTACGAGGGGTGTTTTTTGAAGCGTACCAAAAACACGCAGTTTCCAGGAGTCAGATTACACCCGGAATCAGACACTTCCTAGAGTATTATGACTCTGATTTGGGGTGTATTTTATACCACATGTCGTCAAATGATTCCCGGAATCATACACCGTGTGGGAACAAAATACACCCTCAAAATCCGATTACTCCCTGAAGTGACACCTAAAAGGGATGTTTTTTGAAGCGTACCAAAAACGCGCTGTTTCCAGGAGTCAGATTACACCCGGAATCAGACACTTCCTAGAGTATTATGACTCTGATTTGGGGTGTATTTTTATTCCATAAGGTGTATGATTCCGGGAATCATTTGACGCCGTACGGTATAAAAATACACCCTCAACCAGTGTCATAATACCCTAGAAAGTGTCTGATTCCGGGTGTAATCGGACTCCAGAAAACTGCGCGTTTTTGGTACGCTTCAAAAAAACACCCCTTATAGGTGTCATTATTTTTTTCAGTGTATAGGCATTTTGCAAAATGCCCGAGTTTTCACTTTACCTGTAACATATATTTGGACGGGTTACACAGCACATTCGGGTGGACGCGTTTCGTCTAAATGACTTAAAGGGACACTCCCATCTTAACATTAGTTTTGAGTTGAGATAGCCAAATTGGTGGCCATGGCCTGCAAATACCGGTTTGGGCACTCACAACATCGAAAAATGCTTTAATTCGAAGATATGGAATTTCAAACTTGCAGTTTTCGGATTCTAAGGGGCTAATGCATTGGAGTGCCCCCTTAGAATTTGTGACGTCAGCGGAGATCTAACGATTTTTAAATCTTAGACTTAAACCATCGTTAACACGTGGTGGTATACGCTGCTTTGCGCGCAACGTCTGCCGCACTTTAAAGCTGCCAAATTATTGCTTCCAAATAAAGTCGCTAGTAACAGGGGAGATCCCAAAAAGTAAACAAAAGTAAAAGCCTAATATCTTGAAAACCAGTGAATATTTTTCGGTGAAATTTGGTAGATATTCGTTTTCGCTCTTTCTGAACCAAGGGACATCACTTTCATGGCAATTCATTAACTTTTTTGAAGGTGGGAGGGTCCCTTTTATCGACACCCTCTCGGAAATCGGTGTGTTTGTATTGTTTTAATTTCCGAGAGGGTGTCGATAAAGTCATTTAGACGAAACGCGTCCACCAGAATGTGCTGTGTAACCCGTCTCAATATATACTCAGAAATGTCCGTTATTCTACGTAAGACTTCGCTCGCTCCGTATAATGAGTGGTAAGGCGGCCAGCGCAGCGCGGCGCGTCCCTGAACCAGCCCAACGCGTATGTGCCGAGCGTGAGGCTAGGGGATATACTGTACCGCTAAACCTGGGTGTGAGGCGGCGCAGTCTACCGCTCCAGTCAAACGCTGGGCCGTCGGGGGGCGAACATCACTTAGTAGTCGAGTGTACATATGCTTGGCAAGCGGTCTTCTATTTTGGGTAGCTCCATCCATTCAACCCTGGAGTTTACTATATTGGTGGTGCACCCGGGTGACCGTCTTGACACGTGTCACGTGCCAAATCAGGGGTGTCATGGTGTCAATCATGTTCCACTTACGACTACTCCGCAACGACTTGGCCAAATGCACTGAAACTTGGTGTGTTATTTGGACACTCAACGGGGATGCATTTCCACGTGTTACGGTTGGGTTGCTACTGCACGTGCGCACGTGCAGGGCGCATTTCCAGATCTCAAGATTGACTGAACTGATTGCGTTCAAATTTGGTACGTTGTTAGGGACCGGTTAAAAGGGTGGCTTGCGAGTTCAGCTGGGGTCTCACTTGCAGTGCGCAAGTGCAGGACAAGCGTAGCTATGTGTTTACCCTATCACGCCAATCACCAAATAATGGATCGCTTTAGTACATACGAGTTGCAGAAACAATGTAAAGCTAATGTGCGCACTCCTCCGCATTTTTCCCTACCACCTTCACGGCATACGAGTATGTGAATACTACGAGTATGCCATGGTATTTAGCATTGCTGTGCAGCGCGTTCACTTTTACCATCCAATGAATCCCTGTCCTGTTCGCAGTGATTTACGTCGAATTTTGCAATTCGCCCAGGGGGATGTCGTCCCGGTTCTTCCCATGTATTATTCGCCAATCAGCTTAACATTACCGGTGACGTCACTGGTGGACCGCCAATCGGGGCCGGCCGGACCCGTAGAAGGCCAAACGCAGACGTTTTCAGAAAAGCGTAAGCCATATAGATACAGTCGTGGATGGAGTTTTTCTGTGATTCGGCTCTCCAAGAGTGCGTCAGGGTACCAGGACCCGGGTCATAGTGAACCGGCATCTGATAAAATCCGCTCACCACTTAGCAGCCGACTTCGACCCGTCACCCTCGTAAAACACAAAAGCTTGCCGGTCATCAATCCACCTGCATCTCTGCATCTGTAAATGATCAGACATGATTGAGTTTTATTCACGATCGATGGCAACACAAGTCAAATTCCTAAAACCAGACGTTTCGGCCACAGGGTGCCTTCGTCAGTGGACACTAGTGATTAATTAAATTAAAAACACATAGTATCAAAAACAATCGGTATAAATCGTTCGAAGTCGACACATCGGGCACAGGTTTCGAAATGCATTCTTTGGTTCAACATTAAAAACCTAAATTGAGAACGGCATTCATCACGCTATTGTTCTTGTCGCGTTCTTTTGATATGCTGAAAATTAAATTATATAATGAATGTACCTACAGGTCACAGTGTAAATGTCGGAACGTTTAATTCGCTCGCCTTTTCTCAGAGTCTTTCAAAGTTCGCCAATCACCTTTCGTTTAGAAATCGTTTACGTTTTGTTTCCTAGTGCCATCATTGCAGCCGCTTTTGCCCAGGTAAAGAATCCAGGTTTTTCGTTCACTGTATCTTGGAAACAGATGTGAGCTGCTTCCAGAGCTTTTCTCACCGATTTTGACATGCCTTTTTCAATGACATGAGCACTGTTCCAGTTTGGTAAATTTTGACATTTTTCGATATGAAGGACGAGTGCGTTCGATCTATTGTGGTTCCGGACATCGCGTTTGTGTTCTTTCAGTCGTGTGTCGAGTCCTCTTCCAGTTTCTCCTATGTACGATTTGTTGCATGGGCCCGAGCAAGGAATTTTGTATACCACACTGTTACTATCTTTCTTTTCAGGCTTCGGCTGAGTCAGATTTTCCACTTTTCTTCCGGAAACTATCGTTACATTCGATCCATTTGATCGAAGTTGTCGTGAATACGAGTCGGCATGTGTTGAGTTTGGTATCGATATATATCGGCCACGTTTCTTCTCTTCTTGTCTTCGTTTTCGTTTCTCTTCGGCGCTTCTCCTTCTGATTTCTTCCGCTTTCTGTTTCATTCTTAGTAGGAACCCTTTTGGATAGTGAAGCCGGTCGAACGTATCGAAAATGTGCTTCAGTTCGTCTTCTAAGAAGTCTTCGCTACATATTCTATATGCTCGTAAGAAAAATCCGATAACGATCCCACTTTTCACTCGTTCGTTGTGAGCTGATAAAAATGGACATAATCTTCTTTGTTTGTAACTTTACGATAAACCGTAAATTTTGCTTTCTGTCCACATCTCATGATAAGGGTGTCTAAGAATGATATTTTTTGCTCGTTTTCTCTTTCGATCGTAAATTGGATCTTTTTGTCGACTTCGTTGAGGACTCGGGAGTTTTTCGTCTAGGTCGACATCTTCGGGCAGAGGTAAAAAAAAACTTCCTACTCGCTTACATTGTAGGCGACAGAAGCTGACAGGCACCAGAGACATTTGGTGACAAAGTCACGAAAATGGTGAACGCACTGCATCGCATTTGTTGACGGCGTTTTCGCACACTGCTAGCGAACAGATTAACCAGCCAATCCGCGGCGAGAATAACCCTGAGCGAACCAATCGGATGC